AGTTATTTGCTCAGTTCTTTGGATTTTGCAGCCCTCTGTCTGGAACAAGGTTTTTAGTAGAGTTTCAAGGCCCGTATCACCAGAAGCATATGGTTACGGTAAAACCTGCACGTTCTCAGTGACTGCTTCTTCAGTATTCTGCAATTCATTAGCCAACAGTTACTGTGTAAGTAAATTAGTTATCATGTTTTACATACTTTATGAGCTTTGTATCTCAAATAAATATCAAGTAAATTTTTTTACTGAAGTTTCTTAGTATGCCTGTATGCTTATTTCCAATGAGCAACAGTAGGAATTACACTTAGGCAATGAGATACAATGAATCATCTGATATAAACGTGTTTATGTTAAACATAAAAATAACTAGTTTGCCAAAGACCATTGTATTCAACAACAACAACACAAAGCACATTCACTAGGGATGAAAGAGACTGCAAAAAATTCCTGCAAATTCTGACTGTATTTTCACAATGTCAAACTAATGATGTTTCTCTCACTGGAAAATAGAGGCTGATCTTCTATCTACAGGAATGGGGGAAAGCACAGGAATAGGCAATGCAGAACACTTATTCTAATATGTGAGAACTCTAAGAAAGTACCCTCCTATTTAAATGCTTACAGTCTCAACACAGAAACAAAGAAATAACAAAAGTTAACTTATCATAAGGCAGCAGTTACAGAAATGTCTTAGCTTTGTTTTCAACATTAGCATTTGTAGTCAGTAAGTATCCAGGACAACTGACAATCAAATGCAGCAGCAAACACATTATTCTCTTGCATATATTTAAGAAGAGAAAAAGGCATTTTAATCACGTGCTGCAAATCCTTGGCCAGTATTAAAATTGGCCATTTGATACGGTGCAACACTTCGTTCTTTGAGTGGTGTGTTTACAATTCGCTTCTTTTTTTAATGTTAAATTCAAAATGAAGAAATAATCCATATGTGTCAAACTAACTAAAAGCTAGCATTTTTCATCTTAAGGCCTCCATAATCTAGAACTGGCTTCCCTTTAAAGTCACCTTTATCTTGGGAGTCTGCATAAATGCTTTAAATATACTAGTGCAAGGCTAGTTATTATTGAGAGAGTAACGGAGCTTTTATGATCATTAGGAAAAGTGACTGTGGATAGCACTAACTGGAATATTTGTTTCACTCTGCTGTCATAGATTATGAATTAGAAATAATAGCAGTAATCACGTTTCAGAAATGAGGATGTAGCTACACAGCCTCCTAACTCTCACTGCACCAGTGTTATAATCCCAACGAGTTAAATACATTGCTTACTTCTAACACAGTAAGTAGAAAGAAAAAAGCAAATCTTGAATGCTGCTTCTTTCTTAAGATTCATCAGAGATGAACAAAACAATTCAAATTCTGCAGGAAGGATTGCTTTTGGTTTTATGCTTTAACATAACTTTAAAATGTGATCTTCTTTAAAATTTTGTTTTATTTAACATTCTATGTTAGAAAATGTGAATGCTGTGATTCTTGGTAGATATCTGCTGCTTGTTTTACAAAGCACCACTACATTCTAATGTGTATGAATGAAGGGAAATAATGGAAAAGTAATCCTAAGTAAAGCACAGTACTGGAAGGAATTTATGACAACTAACAACCACTAAGGACAAAGTAGCTTTTACTAAAAAGCATCTGGGTTGTCTGGATTCACATAGGCAAAGGAGAAAAACTGTGTTTTTCCAGAACCTCCTATATGGCTGTTCTTTTCTGAATATCAGAAAAGAAGGGACAAGAAACAGAGTAAACTGCAAGTTGCTGAAAAGAGATCTCCACTTTGGGCCTTTCATTGGACTGCTAGTTTTGGCAAATAGCTGTGCTGGCTGCAGGCAACTTAGAGAATCTTTGTCCTCTAGTAACAAACAGTCCAGAAACAAACACACACTCATTTGCAGTGTCAGAGATCATGCCAAGTTTGTCATTTTGACAAAGCTTCCCTTCATAAAACATTTTCAGAATGGGTTGGCAGCATTAGCAAAATGTTTTTTAAGAGGGCAGAGAGAGCAAATGAACATTCAAATTAGAACATTTTTAATAATGTGTGGCCTTCAATAATTTGTCTTCAGTATTCTGAAAGACACAATACGGAAGGGGTACCTAATGCCTAAGAAATTCCTCCTGCCCTCTTCATATCTATGGACCAATGTGAAAAGTAGGAGAGTCTCAAATTTGTGAGTCTCATTTTGAGATGGCTAGTAGATAGAAAGTGGTAACTTAGGAAAGAAAACTTAAAAAATACATACCAAAGTGTCTGATGCTATAATGTTGTACCATTTCATTTTCTTTGTATAAGTAAAGATCTGGAATAGAATTTCTACAAAAGCTGTAATTCACTCTGTTTTATTTGCTTGTAAAAATACCCAAAAAAGCCTGTCACTTTCCCAGCGCTAGTAGTAGGTAATGCTCTACTGCCAAAGTTTCTGCAAGTAATATCCACTCTTGTAGTGTTTCAGAACTCCACTAGAAAATTTCAGATTGCTAAGATACTGGACTTGGAAAATCTATCTTAATAATTTTTCTTCATAAAGATTTTTTTCTGCACCATAAATGGACATGTTCTCAACAGACTTTAATAATTTCTGATGTTCTGGCTAATTCTAGCAGGTCATTTAGTCATGCTTTAGATGAGTTTATGAGGGAATATAATGGCAACAAATATAGAATAATGGTCTACTTGCTATCAAGTAAATGTATGTAATACCAGTTATAGAATGCCTTAAGTAATTTCACCACTTGAAGGTCTGCATTGAACAATCTAAAATGATTGACTTAATCCATAAAGTTGATTAAAGACTGAAACAGTTACTGTCGTAGCTGCTTGCTTCTGAGGTTTCCATCTGTATCCGGAATGCCTCTGTAGCAGGAATGCCTGAGCTGCATATGAAGCAGTCTTGGGACTGCCCCTATTCTTTACCCAGTGGATTAAGATAGCTCCAAAATAACAGTAGTGCTTCTGTATTGTAAATTGCAGTGGTGCAAGAGCTGTTCCACATATAATTCTTCCATCTGTGCCAGAGGGCCAAAATTCTGAGACAGAGGTGGTATGGATGTCTGGAGTCGTCATAAGCAAAGATCCTAAGGTACTATTAGATGTATATTTTTTTCTTTCTTGAGGCAGCAACTATATGGCTCCGAGTTGCATTTATATGCAAGAGTTTATAGAAGCAAGGCTTAAATCTGAACTCAGATCCAAGCAACAATGAGTTTAAAGATCTGCTGTGTTTATATCTATTGTAGTACACAAAGAGTTTTAAGAAAAATATCTCAGCGTGATGATTACAAAAATCTAGATACAATCAGGGCGGTACGAATCTCTTTACTTTCTGGCTTCGTCATTAACTGGGATTCTGAATAAACATTTTGCGTATGAGAGAAAATAAGGATTGTACCCTAACTTCACTACCATTTGGCATCTTTCTTGGAAACATGGTCACAGGAAGGATCAGAGATCAGCAAAGAGCTAATACACAGAGCAAAGAGAGATATAGTGCATATTCTCACCCTTAAACCATCAGAAGTTCATCACCTCAGCTCCAGGGGGCTAAAGCACCTTTGATTGAGAGAGAAGTATAAGTTCCCCTCCAGAAGTGGTGTGTTTTTATACAATTAGGGATGTAATGCTGCAGTATGTAGGTACTTTCTCCTCTGCAGTGTAGAACTGCACAGGCCCAGGTGGAAGTACTTTGCTGGAGAGCAGTGCAGACAGATTAGGTGTCACACCTCGCTATATGTGGTATCTTTATTAGAGGTCACAGCTTTAATTCTCTCCTATTACTCTGTAACCATGCATGTAAGAAATAGCAGTCAGCCTCTACCACAAAACAAGTATCAGGAGTGCATGCAGCATATGAATCTGCTCTTTCTCCCATTGTTTTTATACCATTCCCCCAAAAGAAAGCAGTAAAATCTCACAATAACTGCACAGTGCAGTCCAAATAAAACTTATTCTTTGTCCAAATATAAGCAAATGTTCTGCTTTCTATAGTTACAGAAAGATAAGAAAAAGACTAGTGCATATACTTTAAATGTTTCAAAATCCAAATACCAATGTAGTAAAAGTATATTTGCAGTAAAATGCACATCTGCATAGATCTACAGCACAGAATAAAGCCATTCACTGTCTAACAATCCAAACCTTCCTGCATTATACCGTTTTCTTTTATAAATATATTGAACTTGAATTTGTAAATACGTTACCTGTAATTTGTATGCGTGCATACTTATGTATTTAAGATATAGATGAATATAGAATGCATAAATGTATGTATGCAAATTAAAATTGCAGTGGAACTCTTCATCACAAAAGGAAAATGTATCTGAACATGAAAAAGATCTGTGCTATGGTCTAATACAAGACTGAGAAATAAGTTGCCTAGGACTTCAGAACCACTTGAAATGTCACCATATTTCCTCTGAAGCTCCAATGTGTACATCTTCCTTACCTTCAATATCATAAACATGTTAATAGCAGATACAGAATAAAAATATTATTTAAAACTTAAAATAATAATCTTCCTCTCACCTTTCCCTTAGAGAGAAAAAAAAAAATGAGCAAGTGAAAACTACATACAACTTGATGCTCTCCAGGAAAGTATTTAACTATTTTACTAGTGGAGAGGATATAACAGTCTAATAAGACCGCTTTCTTACTGGATGTTTCAACCTTACGAAACAGCTTGTTAAATCTTGCTGTAAGCTTAACTATCTGTATTTTGATATAACAAAACATGGAATAAGGCATAGGTTGACAAACTGAGCAAAAACCAGGTAGAAGGAGACAAAGATACAAACCCAATATTAGTCAAACAAGACAACTAATTAGAAATAAATATGATAACTAATTTTTCTATTCAAAATGGCTTTCTCTTCGTGTTGCACTATTTGCACTAGGAAATCCTAAATATTTCTAATTCTAAAATAACTATTTCTAATTTGCAAAACCCATGTACTGTCGATCCTCATTTAACATCCAGCAATATTTGTTTCATAATGCTTTAGTGCCAGCATTCCAGATATCGGTAAAGTTATAATGCAACTCACGTATATTATTTGGAGGAGGTCTTGTCTCCATGTTTTCATAATGTTGCACATGTACTACAATGTTTAGATCTCTTTCCATATGATCTGTTGTACGAGGACCTTGAGGTCGCATAACATCAGCAAGAGCCCTGAAAACCAAACAAAATCAAAATGAAGCTGTTGCAAAATCTGTAAGGCATTACCAATGTAGTTCCAGGATTTTTTTTGTTTCAGATGCATTCCATCATAATGTCTGCTGGAGAAACCAGCTCCATTCACAGCAAAATCAGGGAATCGGATTCATTGCGAGACTTCGCACCTAAGGTTCTTTTTAGGTTGTCTTAGCATGCTAGCTGTCTAATACACAGAATACACAGAAACACATTAAGTTCTTTAGCTATCTTGGCTTTATAGGAACGTAATTTGAGCTTGTTGAGACTTGTAGAGTTCTGCCATTGCGTGTGCTCAGTAACATTGTCGTCTTGGTTAAGCTGAGCACCTCAGCACCTAACCCCTGTCTCTAGCTCTCACAAACTACTTACCTTCACACCTAGATTACAAGCAGGGCCTGTTAAAAGTAAATTCTCACGCATGCATTTGCACAAAGCACCACACAACGCAATGGTCTTTGCCATTTTAATTCAAAAATGTCATCAAAGTTGAAAGGTCACCTGATTTTTCGTGTAGAAATCCAGTGGGCATAGAACTCTACATGGTCAGGGATTTAAGCTTTTCCCATCCAGAAGGGGAGATCAAAAATGTCATTTCTAACTTCTATGAGTGTCCTAGTCATTAAGATGGAGCAAAGCTTGCACAGAAACACTCCTTGCTGCTTTGAAGACAGCTCAGAAAGGATGAAAGCTTTATGCTACCAAAGTGGGAGCAAGCAAAAGGATTCCGAAGTTAGGCCAGACCCAACCTGATGCTGGTTGTGGACTTTTTCTGCCCAGCTGCAGGCAGTAACTATATCTGAGAGACAGATCCATCCTGCTCTGGTTTATTTTCTAACGACTAGTTTCACTGCCGAGTGTCCTGCTGAGTATGAGTGCACTCTTAGGCATACAGATCAGCACACAGACCTGTACCAGCCTTGTGGGTCCAGAGTTAGTGACTAAGTTTTAAGCTCTGGAACTCTCAGCATGGCAACATCTAACTTTGTCTGTGATTCTGGGCTATGAAGTTTTACCACTGACTTCTGTAGAAGCGGGATTAGCCCCTAAGT